CATGCACTGGTGTGCAGCTGGCCTCGGGGCCTACTCAAATATGTGTTCCCCCAGTGAGCCTTCTCTCACAGACACTGTGCAAGGTCAGGGAGGACGAGGAGCAGGTCCTCTTGGTAGCGCCATATTGGCCCAGTCGGACTTGGTTCCCCGAACTGATGCTCCTCGCGACAGCCCCTCCTTGGCAAATTCCTCTGAGGAGGGATCTCCTTTCTCAGAGAGGGGGCACCCTCTGGCACCCGCGTCCAGACTTGTGGAATCTCCACTTATGGTCCCTGGACGGGACGCGGAGGTTCTAGGTGGGCTACCCCCAGCGGTAGTAAACACCATCGCTTCAGCTAGAGCCCCGTCTACCAGACACGCTTACAGGCTGAGTCGTGCTTTCTTTCCTGCAGGATGGGTTGGAGCGAAGGCTGTCTCCCTCAACCCTTAAAGTGTATGTTGCCAGCATTGCCGCGCATCACGAGGCAGTAGACGGTAAGTCTTTGGGGAAGCATGACTTGGTCATCAGGTTTCTCAGAGGGGCAAGGAGGTTAAATCCTCCGCGCCCTCACCTGTTACCCTCTTGGGATCTCCCCTCGGTCCTGGCGGCCTTGAAGGGGGAGCCCTTCGAGCCTCTGCAGTCAGTAGAGCTTAAGTTTCTGTCGTTGAAGACAGTTCTTCTCACCGCATTGGCCTCGGTCAAGAGGGTAGGGGACCTGCAGGCATTTTCAGTCGACGATTCGTGCCTGGAATTCGGAATGGGTAACTCTCACGTTGTCCTGAGATCCCGACCTGGATATGTGCCCAAAGTTCCCACCACGCCTTTTAGGGATCAGGTGGTGAACTTGCAAGCGCTGCCCGGGAGGAGGCAGACCCAGCCGTCGCTCTGCTCTGTCCCGTTTTGTTTTGTTTTGTTTATTTTTGACAAAAAATGTAGTGAATACACTCTATTCTTCAAGGATAACACAATAAAGTTTAAAACAAAACTTATTTCCATTGTGGTCCTTGATGTAAAGCACAAACTTCACTCCTGGTAACAGGTACACTGGCACTGCATTATAAATACAAAAATTACAATAAAATTCTACATCTACAAAAATGTACAGTCACAAATAACCACGTACGTAATACAAATTCATCAACAAAACAACCTACTTAAGAACAAACGTGATGTCATGACCAGGAAGCTTTAAAAGCATGTGAGGTGCAGCCGGTATTAGCTTCTAGGAGTGAAGCAAGCTCTAGTAGGGATGCCGGAAGTATGGCCTTGCGACGCAGTGTCTCGTTCCCTCGGGGAATCATGGTTACATACGTAACCTGGGACGTTCCCCTTCGGGAACTCGAGCTGCGTTGGAAAACACTAGGGGAACGAGATGTCCACGCCACCAGACTTGCAAATCCCTGCCTAATGTGGAAGAGCACAGCTATGGCAAGAGAACAGAGGGGTCTGGAGTGGCACGCAAATCTAGGTCATAGAACCTGACGAAAGGCCTTGGAGGCCGCCACACTTCTTGTTGAGTGAGCCTTGACCCCCAATGGTGAGGGGAGATCAGAGGACTCATAGGCAACAGTAATGACATTCACTATCCAACGGCTGAGGGTCTGCTCGGAAGCAGGATGACCTCTCTTAGGGGGACCATAGCACACAAGCAGTTGGTCAGCCTTTCTCCACAGGGCAGCTCTGTGGACGTATGCATCTAGTGCTCACACTGGACACATACAATTAAGCCTCTGCTGGTCGGGCTCCCTAAAGGGAGGAGGATAAAAAGCCTGGAGTACGACAGGCCGTGGTGTAGAGGAGGGGACCTCAGGGACATACCCCACACGAGGGTACAGAAAAGCTTTGGCCAGACCGGGCCCAAAGTCGAGATAGGAAGGGGCCACAGAAAGGGCCTGCAGATCCCCAACTCTCTTTAGAGAAGATATAGCCAAGAGAAACACAGTCTTTAACGTAAGAAGACGATCTGATGTCTCCTCGATAGACTCAAAGGGAGGCCTACAGAGAGCTTCTAGCACCACAGCGAGGTCCCAAGGAGGGACACGAGATCGTACCTGAGGCCTCAGCCTCATCACACCGCGGAGGAAACGTGTACCCAAGGGGTCCTTGCCCACTGAGTGACCATCAAGAGGGGTGTGGTAGGCCGCTATAGCCACCACGTAGACCTTCAGGGAGGAGTGGGTTAACCCCGCGGAGAAACGGGCCTGCAAGAACTCCAGCACTGTACCAATCGGGCAGTTAACTGGGTCAAGCAGGCGGTCTCCGCACCATGAAGTGAAGAGTCTCCACTTCAGGGCATACAGTTTCCTTGTTGAGTGAGCTCTAGATTGGAGGATGGTCTCAACAACCTCGGTTGAGAGACCACAGGCTATGAGTTGTGCCCCCACAGGGGCCACACCCACAGCTTCCACAACTCTGGGCGGGGGTGAAAGATCATACCCTCCGCCTGTGAGAGGAGATCCCTCCTGACGGGAATCTCCCATAGAGTGCCGTCGAGGAGAGAAAAGTCCCAAACAAGTCCACCTAAGCCTGGCTAAAAACTTTCCATATCTGCTTCACCACCTCAGGGTGAAGCATCCATTCCCCGGGCATCGGCCCCTGCCTCAACAGGATGTCTGCTCCCATATTGAGATGCCCAGGAATATGAACTGCTCTCAGCGAGAGGAGTTTGCCCTGGGACCACACAAGGATCTGGTGCGCCAGCTTGTATAAGGGGCGTGAATGTAGACCTCCCAGGTGGTTGATATAAAAGACCACCGCTGTGTTGTCGGTGCGCACCAACACATGTCAATCTCTTAGGTCTGGAAGAAAGTGTTTGAGGGCTCAAAACACGGCCAGCATCTCCAGGCAGTTGATGTGCCACGTGAGATGGCGACCACTCCACAGTCCTTCTCTGACTCTCGCAACTGCAGTGAGGATCAACTCGATCCGAGAAGGAGACAAACGTGCCTGCATCGTGGTCGAATCCCACACCACGCCCAGATAAGTGGTCCTCTGTAATGGAGAACGCACACTTTTCTTGGCGTTTAGTCTTAACCTCAACTCTTTCATATGAGCGAGAACGACATCTTGATGCCGAACCGCCATCTGCTCTGATTGAGCTAAAATCAACCAATCGTCGATGTAATTGAGTATGCAGACGCCCTGGAGTCGCAGAGGAGCCAGAGCAGCTTCCACACACTTTGTGAAAGTACGGGGTGAGAGTGCTAGGCCGAAGGGAAGGACCCGATATTGGTAAGCTTTGCCCCTGAAAGCAAACCTCAGGAACTTCCTGTGACTGGGAAGGATGGAGACATGGAAATAAGCATCTTTTAGATCTATCGGGACAAACCAGTCCTCGGACCTGATCTGAGACACGACCTGTTTGACAGTGAGCATTAATGTGGAAAACCCCTTTGAAAGGTGGCGGCGGAGAGCCGAACTAAATGCGATAGCCTCTTTCTACAGTTTGCAGGACCCAACGAGATACATTTGGTAGTAGTTTCCATGCTGCTAAATAATCTACTAAGGGAACCAGTCTCTTGAGACTGGCCTCTGGTGTGCTTGGAGCTGCTAACTGGGTGCCCTGAAGCGGAGGACCGGCAGGAGACGGCCGAGCTAGCTGCTCGAGAGACCCCCAAAGGGGTGGCGAGGCTCTCAGCTCCGCTATTTTCCCGGGCTGAAAATACTGAGAGAAACACTCGCTGGAGTCCGCTGCGCCCTGGAACACTGGCAGGGTTCGCAGAACGATCTCCTGAGGGCGCTGAGGAGAGACGGACACCGTATACTGCGGTGCACTCCGCTCTTCCCCAGTAGGGGCCACCCTCAGCAGTCCTGGGCTTAAAAATGTCAGGACCACTTCGTCGAGGGCTTCCTAGACTGAAGCACAACCCTCAGGTCGGGCCTCGCCTTAGAAGCCCCCGACTTACAGCGCCGCCGTCCTCGATCCCGCTGCGGGGGAGCGCGAGAGGCAACACTCTGTTTTTGGACCTCCCTATATGAGGAGCTGGTACCCGGCTGGTAATCCATGAGGCAGACCCTGTCCTTCTCTTTCATATCGGATAGCACGGGCGGTCTCCTTGGTGGCGCGGAGAGCTAATTCAGCGGTTCTCCTCAATTCTAAGATGTCATCTGCCTTGACTTACTCGCCTTCATCAAACTCTTTTAGCAGGTCGGCTTGGTACGCCTGTAACACTGACATAGTGTGCAGACACGCACCAGCCTGACCCGCTGCAGAGTACCCCTTGCCCACCAGCGCTGAAGTGGTTTGCAGCGGCTTGGAGGGCAAGACCGGAGCCTTCAGAGATGATGCCGCGCCGGGTGACAGATAGCGCGCAAGCGTCTGCTCTACCCGGGGCATCCTTCTGTAACCGCATTCACCCAGCACCCGCCACATTTCCATAATAATCAGAGGCGGGGATGAATAAGAGGGCCGAAAACGGCAGGCTCCGGCGCAGAGGTAGCGGCTTAGCACGCAGAAAGCTTTCAGCCTGTTTCTCTGCGGGCCACTCGATGTTCAGCTTGCAACAACCGCATGAGTAACTACCTCCAATAGCTCCTCATATTGTGCGGATTGAGGGAGCGAATCCTCGATGCTTTCCACATCAACCTCCTCGGAGGAAGATAGGAGAAGCGCCGAGCCCACTCTCCGGGGGGAAGAAACTGCAGAATGGGCTTCCGATCCCAGAGAGCAGGCAGTGGATCTGGCAGGTGAGGAAGAAGATAGGGACTCGCCCGTCTCCATTCCCTCCACCAGATCCAGCTGCGAACCCCACGAGTGCAGCTGCCGCTCCGCCTTGGCAGAAGCGGGGCCAGCACCGTGAGGAACGCTGGTGAAGGCTCCCTCCTCAAAGAGAGCCTTCCGGGAGCGAAGCAAACGCAGTGGCAACTGCTCACAATGCGGGTGGTCGGCCCCCTCGAGAGTCCGCTCCCAAGCAGACCACGCACAAACTGTGTGTATCCCCACTCGTGATGTAGCGTGGGCAGGGAGGAACCCAGAGTCTATAACGCGATCTGCTTTCGCCGTTGTTTTTCTTTGCTTTCGACATACTGGAGCTTTATGCTTTTTTTGCTGAATGCTTGTGTAACTTTGGACAGACAACAATAAATAAGACTCACAGAACATAGATTGTGACCGACACACACACAGAGCTTTGCTAAATGACAGAAAGCTAACGCCGGCTGCACCTCACATGCTTTTAAAGCTTCCTGGTCATGACGTCACCCGCCTCTGACGTCTCGCCCATCGATTGGACTGATTACACATATGATTCAGAACTTGGTATCGCTGAAGGTGTTCCCCTAGCATTTTCCAATGCAGCTTGAGTTCCCGAAGGGGAACCTGACAGACATCAGAGATGCCTTCAAGTTGTCCTATAGGCTAATGCAAAGAAAAATTTATTAAAATCAGGAGAAAAGGCATTCTGTCAGAAAATGTGACTCTAGCAAAGGCAAAGGCTATTGTGAGGAAACATGCCGTTTTCTCACAGTCTTCGGTCAGATACAATCACATAATGGCTCCCCAGAGTGGCTTTAATTAGAGAAAAGGCAAGTGGGATATGTGGCGACAGAATCTTCTGCAGGAAGCTCATCAGAAAGATTCCTCGCACACCGTCTCTCTTTTTCTCTCGCTCACACCATTATCTAATCAAATACAGAGAGGCGGCCCCACTGTCTTTCACCTCGGGATCCAGGCCAGGAAATTACATCCAGCAATCAATAAAATAAGCCACTATCTTCATCAGTGAAATTAGTATTGGCACTAGCCGTTTTCCATTTGACCACAATAAAGTCTTGCTTTTTTTCATGATCTTTTTTTTTTAATGACTCAGAAAAAAAATCATCCCACAGCTCGATAACGACACAGACTATATTTCATTCTCTTCTGCTCACGTTTTGCTGATCTGCATCCTCTGGAGAAATTAATTGCTGCAAGTCTGTCTGCCAAGGCTCCTTCCAGGACAAACTTCCTTGTGTTTTTTCTCTCTTTCGTCTGCTGTACCTGGCCAAGAACGGCGACCTGCCACTAATGGGCTATATTTGGGGCAGGGGATGATTAAAAGTGCAGCTCTACCCTCTATCTAAGACAGGCCTATTCATTCTACTGCCGCCCCATTGCTGCCACACCAAGGAGCCTGAATAATTTATGCACAGTATCAAACATGAAAGAAGACCTTCACTCTCTTCCTCCGCCCTTCCTCTCTAGGTTCCTCCTCTTCCTTGTCTTTGTGCCTGATGTATCTCGCACCGACCCGATGCGGTTCAAAGCAGATTTGGAAAAGCCATTAGGCGTAATGAAGGACTCACCCTAGCTCAGTTTAAAGGTGGGTGCTGATGGCCATCGGATGGAATGAGGAAAAGATCCTTACAATTAAATGGAGTTTAAATGTGAAGGTATGAGAGATAGCTGAAATGAGGAGTACACTGACGGAGACACTTCAGGGCTTTATTTTCTGAGAGGTTATTTGAAATGATTATGACGATACAGCCCATTTTCCTCCATAAGATATTTAATTCAGTAGCAGGACGATGAGAGAGAAAGAGACGGGAAAGGGTAAGAAAGGTGAATGTACAGAGTTCCACCTACATACAGTTCAATGCTAATTAAAATTAGGCGCAACTGTATAGAACAGAATCTTTATTTATCACCATGCTGATGATAAATTGGGCAGATGGAATTTATTCTCGTAACACATGATGTCACCATTGGCTTCACAGGAGAAACTTGTACTCAAGTAGGTAAATCTGACAAAAACTTTCAAGAAATGTTCACCCCAAAATCAAGCAAAATAAATTAAAGCTATATTTTGCATAAAGACAATGATGCCTATTTTCAAATAAATTTTTGAAAGATTATTATTTATTTTTGCATATTATATTCCTGTATATTAATGTACATTTTCTCTCCCACACTCCAATTCTCAGAAGTCTACTGTAAAGCAATTTATAGAAAAGCAATAACAGTAAAAGAAGCAAATTTGTCAAGTACATTTGTCGGGCTTTCAAGTGAAAACGACAGTAGTATTTTTGTTTATTAAATACATTTATGTAAATAATATTAAATAAATACCTTACATGCAATTTTACATGCATTGAGGCCATTCAGATTTTTGAGGAAAGCGGATTTTAATAGCAATTTTCTAAAATATTAAAAAGAAAAGAAAAAAAAGAAAAAAATATTTAAAACATTAAAAATAATGGATATTAATATATAAATATCTATAGTTTAGTATTGTATAATTTAAACTGTATGTTATTAAATATATATATATATATATATATGTGTGTGTGTGTGTGTGTGTGTGTGTGTGTATGTATTCATTTTTAAAAATATATTCATATACATATTATATAAATATAATAGTTCTTTATATATATATATATATATATATATATATATATATATATATATATACACACATACATACATATATCTGGACGTAAATGCGCACAGATGCAAACAAACACTCACCTCCCACGTTCCCTCATATGACTGCTTCTTGAGACGGATGGCCCAATTCTCCAGGCACGCATCAGAGCAATGGTCCATACTGAGGATGACCGGCCGGGTGAGCACCACACCGGGCGGTCCGCAGCTCACCACGGGGCTCAGCAATGTCTGACACCCAGCCAGGGGTAATCTAGAGGGAGGCAGTGGGGGAGCACAATGGTCAGGAATCAACCAAAGGGGTCTGGATGGATGGGCAATGTCAAGCCCAGAGCAGACCCTTTAACAAGATGAGGTTCCACTATTAATCAGGGCTCTGGTGCTCTGATCGGACTTTTCACACTCTGCATTCAAGGCTAGTAGGGAGCCGGTCGTAAACAATGCATGAATGTACGAGAAAAAATTGCCTGACTGTTACATGGTGCTTCACTCCCGACAGGAAAATCTAAAACAGGAGAACATTTCACTCTCTGTGGCCCATGGCTCATTTACATATAACAGACAAGACACACCACATACACACAAGCTTTTGATATCTCAAGTCAGCATTAGTCATAAATCTGAGCAAACGGCTCACACACACACACACAATCATGCACACGAGCATGTGGAGATTGACTTCAATTACGTTCGACGCTCTGTGCCTGGCCTTTTTTAAGTTCTGATTCAAACTGTGCATCTTTTCTTTGTGAGGCAGATCCTCAGATTGGTTCCAGGGACCTACCTCATGTCTTCCTTCTTCTGAATGGTGAGATAAATCTCATAAATCTTCCCTCTGGGAATGGCCTCTGGCGGGATGAGAAGGCTGATTCCTAATGTAAATAGGAACAAAAGAGACAAGGTAGGCTCATTTGTTCCATCTGAATGCTGCTTTTGTCACAGCTCACAGTGGGCCTTTATGTTAAAGTAAATGTGATTAACACTATACAAATCCAAGGTCAAGGCCAAAGATGTCATCTACTATGAATAAATTCCAAAACTCTTTCACTTTATGTCCTGGAGATGTGTACAATGGCAGGAAGAGCCTAAAGCAGGGGTATTCGATTAAAGTTACAAGAGGTCCAGTCTCTTTCTTGTCAGTAAATAGTCAAACAATCAAAGCTTATTGTTTCAGAAGTTAATGTGCTGGTTATGAAACTAAACAATGTGTACTTTCAGAAAATCTATTGTAAATTTAACTTTCAGAAAAGTTTTTGTAAACGTAAGAAATCATAAATATAATCATAGAATAGTCTATGATAATTCATTTAAATTGAAATAAATTCAAATGTATTTTTAAAAAAATAAAATAAAATAAAATAAATGCTACTCTGAGCCACTTGTAACTGTGGAGATGACACATAAAAAGGGAAAATATTAACAAAAAAATAATACAAAATAAAATATTATAATATAATATATTATTATATGCTATTATGATTATTACATAATTAAATAATTAGTCAACCCCTAACTTGACACATTAAACTTTGCCTTGTAACTTGTCTAGTCCAAAATAATCGTAAGATGAATGCATAAAAGTAGCATAAGCCATAAAACATCCTCAAATCTGTCACGGATAACAGGTAGCAGGCATTATATTTTGAAGGGCAATGTTCTTAGTCGATGGAGTCCTGGTTATTTCATTTCCACTGCCTCGTGAGCTGTCTCTTTGACCGCGAGTGATTCATAATGTGACAGCGTGATGAACCCTCTGTCTGTGATTAAGGAGACTAATTGGTTTGAATATACTCTGGTGGCGTCCTTGGAGTGGATAGAGTTGCAGACACTATGAATGTGCACACTGCATATCGGCTTACAGTGCCACGGCTGACAACCAAGTCACTGGCTCAGCTCGGAGAAGATGCAGTGAGGTATCCTTCGAAAAAAAGAATGGGAAAATAAAACAAGACGTTCCCCAATTACAGCTATTTTCGTTGTAAAAGGAAAATGGTCGTCATTGTCATAACACAATCATTAGTATATAAATGGAAGCACTTCTTTGCCCGTTTTATAAAAACATCTTTATAAGGTGTTCGCTTTGCTCGTGTCCCGATTTACATAAAACTGCGTGGATTACCGTGTAATTGGATCACTTCACCCTTCCATTTTGGGCCATGTCGGTATAATAACGTTGCAGTTTAACAAAGCTACAGAGCTCTTTCACAACACTCCTGACTAAACACATAAAACATTTTGTACTGTTTGCAGTCATATAATCTTACCAGTGTTGGGGAGGGTTAGGCGGCCGCCCAGGAAATTGAAAGTGCCATAGGAGGTGTTGACGTTGTCTCTCGGTAGCGTTTTGAAATACATCTGAGAGGACAGGCTGTTCATGAAGTCATTGGGATTACTAGGCAGTTTGCCGTTGTGCAGCGTGTGGGAGCCGTTAGGAAGTGGCTCCAGGAGGGGGCCGTTGCTCACGGAGAACTTCCCAGTGACTTCGTGGCGAGAACGCAGAGTTCCCTGGTAGCTTGTGGTGGTGGTAGTCAAATCGGGTTGGATGGTGAGCAAATGAGAGTTTTCTGTAGAAACAGAGAGAAAGAAACAAGTGAAAAAAAACACTCTGAAAGGTCACAGTGGTTAAAAGTGCTCAACACAAATTGAAATTCAGTGCAAATGCACAAATCCATGGATGTAGCCGGGCCTTCGGCGCTGAGAGAGACTCACTCGTAAATAAATCAATGCCTCCTCCTCTTTAGCAGCCACAATCAATTCCATTCAGCGTTTAAAGAAAGCCTGCCAGTCACGGTTAACATTTTTTACACTTTAAATAAAGCTTTCTGTGTGGCTTTATTCAGGTTCAAATTCCCAGAATCTAACTCTATATTTTGTGATTTCAGAAATGTTCTTGTTTTTTTCCCCATGTTAAAAAAATAAAAATGCACAGCAGTAGGCAGATTTGTTTCGTGGGAAGATCAATGGAAATCAGCTTAATGCTACTATTACCAAATCACTTCCCATGGAAGTAGGCGGATGCGTAAAGGTCTCCTCTCACTTATGACTTCAAAGATGATTTAAGTAAAACCACCACATTCATTTGCAACTGTGAAGATGACACACAAAATTATGACTACCTCCATTTAACTCAAACACTGCACATACACGGACATAATTGCGAAACTATGAATTGTCATGGCCACAGGTGGCACAGGAACACGGGCACTGGGATGAAAGGATGGGTGTGAAACACCGTGGCGAGGGGTGGATAGTGTAGAGAAACAATAGCCTACTGCTGTGGGCTGCCCTGTGCGGTGCCCACACACCTGGCTTGGTGGGCTTGATGCCCATGGGCTGGAAGCCAGTGGTGAGGATGGAGGAGTCGGCCACATCTGCATCGAGACCTTCCTTCTTTCTGCGGTAGACCAACACCAGTACAATCAGCAGCAGAGTCAGACAAAGAGCCACCGCAACGATCCCCACGTACAAGGCCACATCCTCAGCACCTGATGCCGCTACGCAGAGACAGAAAAAGAGACATATGTGTCAGTAATAGCCACACTAAATATTGGTTACCATATTGTCAATATTAGCATTTTTCTTTGTCAGCAATGAGTTGCAGCAAAGGTCAACTTCTGGATTGTAGATCTAGCACAGATTGTAGATCTGGTTTACACTCATAATATTTATAATATCAGCAATTCTATTGGTTAAAACAGAGAAATAAAAAAGGTTCTAGGTTCTCTCTGTAATACTTTCAAATACATTTTTAATTAATGATTTTTATTAAAAACATTAATATAATTGTGCTACGTAATGCTAAATACATTACTCCAGTGTCACATGATCCTTCAGAAATCATTCTAATATGCTGATTTTGTGCTAAAGAATAATTTATTATCCTCAATTTTTAAAACAATTGTGCTGCTTAAAAGTTTTGTGGAAACAGTGATTTTTTAAATCTTTTTTTTCAGGATTATTTGATGAACAGAAAGTTCAAAAGAACAGCATTTAGTAGAAATCTCATGTAACGTTATAAATGTCTTTCCTGTCACTTTTGAGCAATTTAATCTGTCCTAGCTTAATAAAAGTATTAACTTCCTGTATAGCCCACTGTAATTGCCAAAATGTGCAGTAAACTAAAGACAACACTGCATAAAATACCTTCTTGACTTTTATAAGACATTTAGAGGAAAAAAAAAATATCTGGGATGATACATTGAATTAAGCATACAACTCAAAGAGGTCAATGAGGTCAGTATATAACTATTTTAAATATTTAATGTGTACGGTTTCAAATTAAAGAAAATAGCACTGCATACTGTGCAATGCATGCAGTATTCAACTCCAAACATTTGCCTGAATAGATGGTTTAAAACTGCGTAAAGTGATAATCAATGTCAATTTTAGAATGAAATACCTGTTCTTCTCGTGTATTACTTTGTAATCTGATGTTAACCAAATTTTGCCAGATGCCAGTGTTTTTTTTTTCTCCAAGCATAAAATTATTATCAAAGAGAATTACCTAAACCTAACTTGGCTTGCATTGTGTGTAAGGGAATTAACTGCTGAGAAAACATTTCAGTAGATATGCAGCTTCCCTACTGCTGCCTCCTTAAAAAGGTAATCATATCTGTGCTTCAGTGGGTTGTTCGGCAGTTGGAAAGACGGGAGTGTTTGCTGGCGGCGTGCTACATCAGCATTCTTCAAGCTGCTGAATTTATAGCTGTGATTTTGAAAGACACTTCCTTCCAAAAAGAGGGAGAGAGACAGGGAGTGAGAGTGTGTGTTTCTGACACAAAGCAGATTTCCTTATGAATCCACATAATTTCATGTGCCCTCTCGCGTTGTGGCCTGCAGCTTTATGGCTAAGTACCCAGAGACAATCACATCCAAAATTATTCTAATCAATTGTGTCGGTGGGAAATGAGATTTGTGAGGGCTGTCTCTGTGGCATGCTGATTTGTTGGGTGGTAGAGGTGTGGAGAGACCCAGTGGCTCTGCATTGTGACGAGAGTCTGCAGAGGCGTATGCAGGCCTATTTAGATGCTCCATGGACTGACAGCTCAAATCTATGAGGAATCGCTCAGCCAAAGCTCCTGAATTCAGGGGTAGAGTCACAGCTGTGCATATGGGCCATATCACTGAGCATTACGTCCTGCATCATATTCTCCTCACACAAAGTGGGGTCAACAGAAGGTGAAATCAAGAATAAATGTGCATGTCTTTAACAGTCAAAAAACTACAGAGAGAAATTGCTGACAAATTATATCTGACAAAACCTCTTTTTGGGGATGTGGGGAAAAGTGCTTTATAAATAGAGTAAATAATGCATCTTAAACTGTATACAAATATTATACAAGTAATACACATCTATCTATCTACACTGTAAAATCCAATAGTTTACCTTACTTAGATTTAGTTAGTTATCTTTACTTAGTTGTTATACTTACTAGGTTTTATTAAGTTACAGCTACTTTCAAGGCAAATAAAACAATTTACTTACTGTTTTGAGTGACACTTACTTAAAATATTCAAGTAGCCACAAAGGAACCAATGACATTAATAAACCAATGAGAGGCAGCAGTGCACTAATATGTTGCTAATGTGCAACATAACAACAGCAGAAGAAGAAAAGAAAACGAGTCTTAATAGACTTTTCACTCATTTCCTCCATCTCTGCAATTATCTTTCACTAGTTGCATTCACTCGTTTCCCAAAGTCATCTTGAATGTTGAATTCTCAATACAACTGAAATATTTGAAAGAACATCACATAAGCTAACTTTATAAATTGATGTTGATTTTCCTAAAATGTGTTTTTTTAACTCCCCATTATAGTGATTAGCAGTCCCTTTGGTTGGGCACTTTGAACTTGGTTGACATTGCTATAATTTACTGCCTGTTAATACAGTAATGCATCAAGAACTCAGAGTTATAGGATTTCAAAGGAAGAAAAGTAATAAATAGATTGCTTTTAGAA